TTTTATTGCTACAAAATTCATTCCGTCTTTAAAAATAGTTGGAACCAAAGTCGCTTGTCTTTTAATTTTTCATTAGAAAAAGAAATATATGAAAAGTTTTCTTATGAAATTCATATGACATATTTAAAATATTCATCAAATTTTTATTACCATTTTCATAAAAGATTTAGATTTTTAACATATGATAGCACATTTCAAATCCTTTTCAATTTTCAAATTGCTTTCATTTTTAAAAATACATGTATACCGCATATCGCACGCACGCGCGCACGAACGCACGCACGCACACATATACAAAATACTTTTTTACATATGTAAAATATTTTTGAATATTAATGTATAATAAAAATTTTTAAGTAATTAAAAGATAAGATTTTATTTCTTCAGCGCACGTCATCTATATTATCTTTAGCCTATATCCTGTACTCTATGAAATATTTGTACAAAACTTAAGGAATAAAAATCTTTTAATTTTTTTAGTCTTTAAATAATCTCTGATTTCGCATTTAGATCTCGTCTCAAATATATTTAATTTAATATTATAAATATTTTTAAGGAAAAGATTGATTTTTAAAGAGAAGCGAATAAAAAATGTTTAGATTAAACCTCTTTTTTTGATCTTCGAATGTATTATACTTTGATAAATTTTGTAAAAGATCGAGGATTATATTAAATGTAAAATGAAATAAAATATAATAGTAATTGATAATTGTAACTGATAAACGTTTTGATTGCCTTCCCCCGCTCCTTCCTATCCGTGACATATGAGACATCGTACTATCTCGTTCACCTTGATGTCCAAAGTTCCACCATTAGGAAATCCACCCCTCCCTCTCGATATACGGAATTTCCTCAAGAGGCAAAGAGAAACTCACCAAAATCGTCACGTGGTTAACTACGGTCCTCGTACAAGTATTCGCTGCCCGACGGATGGACGGACGGACGGACGCACCCTGGAACAATACACACTCCGGACCGGTCACATGTCAGAGCCTTTTCGTCGGATCGTATACAGGCGGCATATGCGCGGACTCGTTCATCCCCGCGACATCGGGCAGATCACACGTTGTAGACGGCCAGCCCAACCCGTCGCTTCTGCCGGAGTTCGGTGGTAGTCCCCACCCCTTCCTTCCTCCTCCTCCTCCTCCTCCTCCTCCTCCTCTTCTTCCTCTTCCACTACCTCTTCCTTCTTCGTCTCCTCTCTCTCTCTTTCTTCTCCACTTTCTCCTCCCTCCGCAGCTGGTTCGCGCATCGCTCCTTCTCCCTTTCACGAGAGCGCGAAACGCTCTCCTTTCACCCTCTCCTTTCCTCCTACTCCCTCCCGGCTCTCATCGGGTCGCCATCAGGACCTTACCCGATATCCAACGCCCCCGATGCGAGGGGGTAAAATCCATAAGACGCGCGTCTGCGCCCTCCATGCGCTTCTGTTCGCGATATAAGCGCCCTTCAACTGAAATGCAACGAACTACCCTTTGCACGAGATCTCGATGTATCCCGGAAGGAATACTAAGAGAGTGCAGTTTGAAATACAATTTTTATCATTTTTAGTAAAGTTTAGAAAATATGCGCGACAGGTACAGGAAATTGATTCGAGATATTACACAATGATCAAGAAGAGATCATATTATCATTGTTTAGAATATTTTCTTAAATTTGCAAATAACAAATTAAATAAACAAAAATGCAAAATATTTTCAAAAGTTGAAAATTGTAAACCATAAATATTTTGTGTTGGAATAAAATAATGTTATTACAAATTGTTAACGTAAAATATTAATAATAATTAAGATAAAAAATTGTTAATTTTAGAGAAACAAAATTTTTTTAAAATAAGATTTATTCTCTTATGTATTTAATCAAAATTAAAAAAAGAAATTAAATAAATTAATTCAAAATTGTGCGTTTTTAAAAACTGTTACTTGACAATATTTAAAAATCTTCTTTTATTTGCAAAAATTGTTTATAATATGTATATAATTGTTTATAATTATTTATAATTTTAACAGCACAAAATAAAATTTGAAAATTCTATATATATTGAAAATTATATAGTAAAAACTTTCTTATAATGTTTCTTTATATGTATATTATTTCTCATATATTTTCAAATTACATTTAGAATATACAGAATATATCTCATAATCATTTACGAATTATTTCATAAATAAATAAAATGCAATTAATATGAGTAGAAAAGTTCATTTGTATTATTTTACAATCTTTGTAATTATTAATAAAAAGTTAATTAATAAAAATCTGTAAATAATATTAACAGTCCTAATCTATATATATAAAATTGTTATATTGCTATACATCACAAATATTGCATGAAACAATATTTTAATTTATATTTTATAATCATGAAATATTTAATATCGTGAATTCTTCAAAAAAAATATTAACCTGAACAGATAAAATTATCTTTTCTATGCAAATATATGTATTTATTTGTTATAGAATGTTTTCCGTTTAACATAAGTTGACGTAAACGTCATTCTATCCTTTTTGCTTTCAACGAGTAACAAGTACACATAATACTTGTGTCGACTTACTTCACTGAATGGAAAGAATTAATTAATTAAAGTATAATTTGATGTAGTTTGTGTTGTAAAATTATCCTTTTAAGAATCTATAAATAATTTCTGATTATTTATTATACGAATTATAAATTTTGAGCGATATGCTTTGCTTCCTAAAATATTCTTATAAATTTCTTTTTTCCTATCTATATAATAAAATAATTTTATAATATAGATTGTAATGTCACGGTTAGCAAACTAGAATTTTGAAACATAGATTTCATTGTTCTGATTGATTAATCAAACACTTCGAAGATTTATAAATGTTGAACAGATCACAATCAATGGCTGCATTCAACAAAAAAAGTAATTATTATAAGATTCTTTATGATTGGTTCTTGCTTTTAATCCACTTATTCTAAATGTATAAATCAATCATATTAAAAAATTTTACAGTAATTGGTAAACTACTTTTTCTATGCATACTTTTTCTATGCCAAATTATATATTCAACAGAATATTTATCTTGCGATGATTGGAAGTTTTTATGTTCAAATTTTAGAGAGAAAGAAAAAGATTATTCCTTTAAATTTAAAAATATAATTCAATTTCAGCACAAAAACTTTCATCAATTGCAAAATAAACGTTATGTTAAACGTGGTAAATAGTTACGTTTCAATTTGAATAACACATATGGCAATTGGCAAGATTTAATCAAAAACGTTGATAAGTAGAAAAACAATCCCAGAGAATATTCTGATATTTATAAGACATTTCACAGACATTTCACAAATTTTAAAACATCTTTTAGATTTTTTAAAATTATCAGAAAAATATTTCTTGAAGTCTACGTCTTATAGACATCTTATTTTTTAATTTTTATGTCTTATAATTGTTTTATAGATGTTATTGAGACGCCTTATTTTTCGATTTTAGATATTTTCAAACGTCCATTCATAATGTTTGAAAAAGCAATTCATTGAAAACTCTCATTGAATATCGTTCATCGCTCATCGCTCGTTGCGTTCAGTGTGAGAGAGCCCTTAAGGAAATGCTGGATTTATCTGTATTACCGACGAAACGCAATAATTTTTGTATTGCTCTCATTTTTTATTAACTTTTTAAATCATTTTTTATTATCTTTTTAAATTCCTTCCCACAGTTATAGTTTATGTATTAATACGTGTTTAGCATATGAATTTCGTATCAAGAATGAAAAAAAATTTTCAAAATTTATCTTTTTTACCATTTGATACTTTAAAAATGGCGTCCATAGCTGTCAAATCGTGTCAATATTTGTTTTATATAAAAACTTTACAGCCTGTACCTACAAAACTGATATTGCAAGATTAGAAGATTACAAAGAAACAACGTTGAGTTTTCTTAGAATTAAGCTAAATACCTAATGTAATGCAAAAAAGCAATACAAAAATTTGTTCATGTGTGTATCATGTGTGTACAGAGATGTATGTATAAGTGTATATATGTATACATAAATATATCTATATGTTATGTTATGTTTAGATGTGCATATGTGTGCACGTTTTCTTCGGAGTTCGCTCGTCAGTCTAGGATCCCTTTAAGACATCTTATTGTCTTATAATGATTTATAACATTTTTCAGATGCTTTATATGACATTTTTTTGAAATCTTATTCACAATAATTTTACATCACTGTAATTTTTAAAATAAAGAAAAACATAAAAATTTAATTTATATTAATTACTGTTAGTTTGTTTATTTTATATATATATATATATACAGGTTTATTTTATATATACATATTTTTATATATGTTCTGCGAGACTTCTGCCACCGCTCGTAAAAAAATAGATGGGACATGGAGATGAACATAAAAGTTCCATACCATTTTGTGATAATCGCAATAATAATCGAGATAAGATCAATTGGATTTCGCCTTGTCTCAACTTCCTCTCGTGCGTAGCTATTGCCGTTTGAAATAAACAATTCCTCACGCGCTTATCAACGATGATCGCCGGGCGGAAGTATTTTACCGCGCGCTTGCATTTGCCGGTGGACCGACTTAATATGATGATTTTTAATAATTAATATCTCGATTATTATTGCGATATCACAAAATGGTATGGGATTTTTATGTTCATCTTGATCTCATCATTTTTTTACGAGCAGTGGTAGAAGCTCTACAATAAGTACCAGATCGCGCCGGTCTGAGGAACGCGCGCCAGCCCTGATCGCTACGCACATACGCACGCTCATTCGTCACTTTTAATCTGATCCACTGTAAAAACTATTCGTCGCACGCAATTTTGCTAAAGAAAAAAGTTGTTTCTTTTAGCATAAAGAATCACGTAGTGTACTCCAAATGCGGAAGTTTTGGATGCATCCACTGGTCACGAAAAAAACAACTTTTGATTGATCCGCCATCTTTTGGCTATTCCCACTTATTTTCAGATACATTAACTACATTAATCTTAAATTGTAATATTATACTTTAAAAACATAAGCGTTTTAAAGATAATAAAATGTGTATATTTATAAAATTTTATTTTACATAATTATATTACCAATTTATTAATATATTTCTTTTAATTTTAACGATTTTAAATTTATTTACTATTTATTTGTTAATTTATCTTTTTTATTTATCTTTTTTTCGTTATTTATCTTTTTCAACACAAGAGCAAGAATTAATATAATATTATACTACTATTATATTACTGTTACACTATAATATTTTTAATTTTTTGATACACAATTGTCAAAACGATCTTTTGTGAAATCAATGATAGCTATTCACAAAGTTAGCGCAGCGAGAGAACCCATCGCGGGAAAATATCAACAATAAACTTCGAGAAAATTTTGAAAGATGCAAGTATCGATGTTATGCCTTTTTTAGAAAGAATTATTATACATATTTATTATTATTATAAACAAACTTTATTACAATATAAAATAAAATTTAAGTAAAAAAATGAATTTTTTATATTGATTTATTACAATTAATTAATTTATGACTATATTTTGCAATTTTAATATCTCTATTATTTAATAATATATTATCACGCTTTTCACGTGTTTAATACACATGCATAATACACTTAAATCAATGCATATGCAAAGTAAAAATATCGCTATTGGTTAGAGTGAGATGGTGTATATTTCTTTTTTTCTCGTAAGATTTAGCCAAAACATGGCGGATCAGAGTCTCTGATTGGCGAATCAGAATCGTGGCCAATCTCTGATTGTAGTGTCTCTAGCCATGTCCTGTGTGCACCCAGCCCATGGTATAAGGAGATAAGATGTGCTCCTTATCAAATAGACCCAATTTGGATCCGGTTTGCGTAGATATGGCGTTGGAACAAGTCGCCTTCCATATTGGAAAATAATAGTAAAATAAACAAATTTGTGACTACGTGACATGTGATTTAATAATAGAAAATTTAATAATTATTAATGATAAAAGTCACAATAATCAATAATCATAATAGTCAGTAGTTAATAGTCGCAAAGTCAGTAGTAATTCTCAATTAAATAAATTTGTAGCGTTGGTGAGGAGCGTCGTCCACTCTTGAAATTGTGACGGCGAAAAATTGTGGCCGCGGTGAGATTCAAACCTAAGTCCTCAGGTATCCAAGTAGCGCTGACGCGCTACCACTGCGCTATGTGGGCCATGGTTACTTTTTCGTAAATGTAATGCTTTGCTGGGTATTAGTTGTGTGAGCGGAGGGACCGCCACAAATTCATTAATTGTTCTTATTTATACTACATTTTGAATATCGCGAGAAAAACGTTGATTGGCTGATATATTAATATAGTTGGCTACTTGTTCCATCATCCTTATTGATCCATCTTCATTTTCATGCGCAAATGCACACCTTGTTTCTTTATACCATGAACCAGTTTTTAAGTGTCGGTCCACAATAAGTATTTAATCTTTAAGCCGTAAGAAATTGACCAATCATAGTCGATTATTCTTTTCATATTCGATTATAATTGGTCAATTTCTTACGTCTTAAAGCTTAAATCACTTATTGTGGACCGACACTAATAATATTTTGTCGATGACTATGATTACACTTTAAGGACCTAGGGCCAGTCTCACCAACTCTGGTTAGTTATTACTAACAGTACTCTGTTTAACTCTTCAGTTAAACAGCGGGTTAAATTTGAGAACTGCCAACTGCAAAAATAAAAACTTCATCATTTCTAACCTAATTTCTTGTTGTAAACACTTGTATTTATATTTCAAAGCATACATTTACATAATACTTATTTTGTTATAATTCACACTTTACACTTTCTCTTTGTCATGAATAGATTAGGAAGTACAAGATCAAGATTGATTTTGGATTTCTTGCTATTGGCAATTCTGCTGGCCAAATTAACAGGCCGATAACATTAACCGGAATTGGGTGCTTTCCATTTAATGATACAAGTATCGATACAAGTATCGTTCTATCTTTCTTGGCTTTCAATGATTAACAAGGACAAAATGACACTTGTGTCGACTTGTGTCACTAAATGGAAAGCACCTATTGATGAGACTGGTCAAGATAAACTTGCATAGCAGCATAATAATATGTAGAAGAAAAATTGTCCAATCGCATTTTAACATTTTACATGTATCTTTATAGAAATGCAATTAAGTCATTTTCTTTATGCATATGGTTATGCTGCTATGCAAATTTGTCTGGATAGGCTCTAAGGGCCAGGACACACATCTTCTGCATTAGAACGCATTAGAAAATGAACCAATCATAATCCTCCATTTCTACCCTCAAAATAGAAATGAAAGATTCTAATTGGTTCATTTTCTTATGCGTAATGCATTATGCGTTAGTGCCGGTCCACAATAGATGATTTAAACTTCAAGAAATAAGAAATTGGCCAATCATAATCGAATATGAGAAAAATAATCGACCGTGATTGGTCAATTTCTTATGGCTTAAAGCTTAAATACCTATTGTGGACCGAGACTTATGAAGAGAAGTGTATGCTCCGACCCTTGTAAGAACGCAGTCACATCTAGTGATTTAGGGAATAGTCGTTATCCATTGTTATCCATCGTTATCGTATGTTCTTTTCTAATTACCCTTGATATCTTTTCTTCTTCTTTCTCTTTCTAGCATTCCATTGCATATTCGTCTCGTTTCTAATGCAGATGGCTAGACATAGTGTCGCAATAGACGAATAGACCTATATGTTCATTTATATTTCACGATATCTGTTCGGTATAAGAGGAATAGGAGCTCGGAAGTGTAAAGAACGTCGCAGAAACGAGAGCCGAGACAAGGCGAAATCCAATTGATCTTATCTCGCTTCGATGCCTGCGCTTCGAAGCTTAAACGGTAAGAATTGACTCGTAAACAATCAAACAATTGAAAAGATGTATTCGCTAAGCCATCGTTAACGTGCTGTTCCTACGGCACGATCAATTATTCGGTGATTTCTCTTGCCAGTCACCGTATTACGTCATATGTATAATTGCGTGTTGATATTGCAGCTTGAAGACGATAAATTGCGGATAATCATTTCGTTTGACTTCTGGAAGAATTGGAATCATGACTGATTCGTCTTTAAAAGGTAAGTAGAACTGCAACTGTTCGTCAGATGTTAGTTGTATATTTTGCAAATCAATTTCAGACCGAACAATTGAGGCATTCTTTCTCATATTTTAGTGTAATTATTTATAGATTAGAGATAATCGTTTATATTCTTTTTTGTCATGTGTAATTTGATTATTTTATAGAGAATATTGAGACAGTGATAAATAAAGATGAGCAGTACGAGGTAATAGATGAATGCATGGAAACAGAAACATCTGAAATCGTACAAGATTCACAGGCAGAAATCACAATTTCTTCAAAGTCAGATGGTACTAAACAGGATCTCAAAACTAGCGCTGGTAAGATATGGAAAATTATTCTGATATTAGTATAAGTAGTAATATCAGAAAAGAAATCATTAATTAAGTATATAAATTAATATGTACTAATATGAAATTAATATATAAGATTTTCTTTTAATAGCTATTTTTATTTATAATTTTGGTCTGAATATTATTTTCTATATATGTGTACATCATTGAATTGTTATTCGTGTTAGTCTAAATACATTATTGTGATAAATATCATCACATGCTTTTGTGATCAAAAGGATAAGATGCCTGTCCTGTAAGCAGGAAATCCAAGTTCAATTCCTGGCTGAGGTGATATTTTTCGCAAAATAATTGTGGATTTTTATGACTGGTTTATGGTCAGGCCTTGTCACGGCATGCGCTTTCTCTTCTTATCCTCTTTTTATAAAATTAAAATCAAATATAATTAATATAATAAAGATAATAACTTAGAAATAACAAATAATAAACTTTTGTATTTGTAGAATATTACATATAATATTCTACAAATTATTAGATAATCCATATTTTAATAATTAATAGTCCTAAGTTCCAGTCTTGCAAACATAAATTTATATGTATTTCTTATTTACAATATTGATTGTTTATTATATTACAGATAATTTAAAATCTCATGATAAGGATACAAACAAATTGATTCCAATAAAAATGGAATATGATAAAGGATCAAACAACGATACAGATTTTACTGCTGATATTAGTTTTGATCAATTTGATGGACAAAGGGAGGTAACAGATGAAGATGTCCTGAATCATTTGGATGTGATAGAAAGTATTGAATTGGATCCTGAAACCTTTGGTGTGGATCAATGTATGAAGGAGACTAATGAAAGTTTTACAAAAGAAAGTGAACAGGAGCAAAATGAAAATGAAGTAACAATAATCGAAGAAGAATTTGTAGAGAAAAAGTGGTATGAAAGAAAGGTGTACAATTTTATATTTTTAAATTAAATATATAAACATTTATGTAACAAACAGATTATTTTATACAAAAAAATGTATTTTTACAGCTTGTAGAAAAAGACACTCTTTTAAGAGAAAGATTGACAAAGTTAGCTCGAGTGTTAGCAGTTTCTTACCCTTCTTATGAAAGATGGTTACAAAGAATAGAGAAGATAGAAGGATCACCTATATGTAAAATAGATCCAGTTCGACGTTGTTCATTAAAAAAACCACATACCAATCGGTGGAAATTTCAATGTAAGTATAAAGAATATATATAAAGTATATAAATTTTTTTATATACTTTTTTGTTTTATATTTATATTTATTATATCTTGAAAAAAATCATGCATTATAAAAAGCAGGTAAGTTTATTTATTCTTTTGATGATCATTTGATTTTCTATATACATATATATTTTTTGTCTTCTTTCTTTAGGATTTATAATTCATTTTTTAATATTGCCATTTATATACATTAGAGAATTGTAGTAGAATAATTGTAGTAGAATAATTTATACAGGAAGATAAATATAAATTTTTATTTAAGCAGAGATAATAACTTTTATTTTTTTATTTATATATCTTTAATTTTATAATTTCTGTTTTATAATATAATTAAATTTTTTTGCGAAAAAATATATTATAAATAACATAATAAATAACACAATGAATATAAAACAAAAATATTTATACATAATACAATATATAGTAACATGGTGTGTATAGGCAAAAAAAAATATATATACGAATCTATAAAACAAGAGGGCAGCTCAGATTCTGACAAAAATTTCAAAACATTCTGGTATCTTGAACCAATGGGAATAGGGAATGTTAATATTGATGACACAACTGAGTTTCCATCTTTTGTGTTAAATGCTGTCAAGGTAAATTTATTATAAAATTATTTTTTTCTATATACAATTTTAAACAAAAAAAGCTTTATGTGATTAATTTATATTTTCGATTTATGAATGCAATTCAAACTTAATTTAGAAAATATTTAGCTCTTGAATTACGCATTACTTATGAACATTTTGCATCCTACAAAGGTTGGATGTAAAATATAAATAATTATGAGCAATAATCAAATTTATATATAAAATATAAAGAAATTATTAAAGAAATTATTTTATAATCCAAATTCTATTTAATATAATAAAAAAAATCTATAAGAAAGCTACTGATGTTAAGGAAACGATCATATTTTAAGAGTCACAAATAATAAAATATGTGCATTATAAAAAGAGATATTTTTGATGGCGATATATTGAGTTTGTATACTCTATAAATTTGTATATATGTACATATGTATATGTATATACATGTTATCTTACATCAAATTGGTCACTCCTGTATTTAAAATTATATTTAGCTAAGTATAACTTGTAAGATATTAAAATTTAGATTAAAGCTTCTAGTTGTCAGTGCCATGTGGCGATTTTGAAAAATGTCAAATAATGATCTTGATTTCATCGATTAAATAAAAAAGTTAATTTTTTTCTTCATTCCTTATTTCCCATTTAATAAAAATAGTTGATAGCAAATAGTTACTTTTGTAATTTTGCATGCTGAATCCGAATTTTAATCAATGAATCGAAATCAATGTTATATAATATTTGAATTGGATGAAAAATGGCCAAAATTGAACAAAATTGCCACTTTTGATATCTATTAATGAAAAGAAGAAAATATTGTTTAAGAATGCTTTTTCCTCTTCTTAATTTAACATTTCTATGCTATAAAATTAATCATATTCTATACAAAAATATCATTTATCAGTTTCAATCAATTTTTAATGATTTTCTTATAAAAAGCTTTTTGTTTATATGAGGTTAAAACTGTATAAGTTATTTTCCAAAAGAAGTAACTTATATTTCATTTGTAAAAAATGATGGATATTTGAATAAGGAAGTAATTAAAAAAATTAATTTACTTTATTTAATCAATCAAATCAAGGTCATTATTTGATATTTTTCAAAACATTATATTTGAAAACTAAAAATTTTAATCTAAATTTTAATATCTTACAAAAATTACACTAGTTAAATTTTAGACAGAAGAATAGTTGATTTAACATGGAATGACC